TGATTTGTACCATAGGGGGGAACCCCACCTTTCGATCCTTCGATCTGTAAACTAGTTTCTGACGGGCCGCTGGAGCCTTCCAAACTCTCTCCTTTTCAGCCTCCACCCGAGGCACGTGCACCACGTTTAAAAACCGGGGAAACCCCGCAACTCCTTTCCTTTTCCATGACGGGCCGCGGAGCCTCCTAAGCACTCATCTCTACAGCGCCTTTTTGTGCATGTCATGACCCTGCGCTTCAAGCCACCCACCGAGGCAGGTTCGCATTGACTTTGCTTCCGTGTTACTTTGCTTGCCCTTTCGTCAATCTGCCTTGGTGGTGTGCGCACGTCTTTCCTCTGGCACCCGCAACTGTCGGGGGTGCTTGACGCGCGCGGTGTAGGGGGTCAAACCCCTACACCCTAGCCCTGGCGAAAGAAAGAGAGAGAGAGAGAGAGAAACGAATGGCCCCGTCCTTTCAGGCCGCCCACCAAGGTCGATTCGTGCTGACTTTACTTCGCTGTTCTTCCCCGTTTCTTTGCGAATCTGCCTTGGTGGAGCGTGCACGCAATGTTCAATGTCTCCCGCCTTTTGTCGGGGGCGCACCTGCGCGCGGTGTAGGGGGTCTCTCCCCTGCACCACAGCCCTGGCGAAAGAAAGAAGATGAAAGAAGCGAATGGCTTTGTGTTCATGGCGGACACAACTGCCAAAGCATGGAGGGGCTACGTTTCCAGTATGGACTCAAACCAGGGGCCGGCACAGGGAATTTTTCCCTTTGTCAAACTTGAAAAGAAGTTAGCCTCGAAAGAAGGGCAGAAGGTCCCTATCTGGTAGCTTATGTCCCTCAATATCCTGTTGTCTATGTCCTTCATCCTGGCTGCTGTAGGTGGAACACTTGGTCTCGAGGAGGACTTTGTGCATGAGAGCATCGTCGGAACTCACTTCACCGGACGGCTTCTGGAAGAAGTCTTGATCACATCTGCAAGTGAATCGATCAAGGCAGTCGTTCCCACCATATCAGGTAGGGCGTGGATTACACAATATTGCGATGTTGTTTGCGACCCCTCAGATCCATTTCCGGAAGGCTATCTTGTTGGTGACATATGGTCAGGAACTGACGAGTGAAAAAATGTGTCTGCCGGCTTGCTGTCATGGTGATGTTTGTTGACAGCTCATGCGGCCTGCGGCAGTGCCCCCAAGCTAATCATGTATGCCGCAACGGTTTTGAATGAAGCAGACGAACTGCATCATGTCGATAGCACCGGAAGGTTCGTGGGACGCGGTGTCCCCCAGACTCAGCTTTGCAATGACAAATTGACATACTAGGATAGACGACATGCTGACAATGAGCCGCTTGTCACTTAGACCAGATGTGCCGTGACAAACTGCAATTCTTACCGTGTCATGTTTCCTTTCGCGCCTTGGCAGAAGCGTTAGTTTTGGCACAGTGTTTTTGAGATGCGCACCACCTGACTTGAGGATGATGCGCTGTTGCCCGTAGAAACAGTGAGAAGAGTGTGGCAAGGCTGAGCCATTGCCAGATCGCTCGAGGCCGTGACCCTCAGCATGGGTAAATGAGGGCGAAACACTTGTGTCATTTGACGGTTGATGACGACGGTCTCTCTGACTGTGCCTTCTGACCAGAGAGCCCCACAAAGAGCCTTCATTGCTTTGAGGCCGCCAGAAATTGAGGGTCGCAGCCTTGGACTCGAGCCTGAAAGCACTTGCAACATGCCCCCGGCCACGCGAGTTTGCAAAGTCTCAATAGGGCCGCTCTATGCCGCTCTACTGGGCTGTGGGCCGGGCGGTTTCGATACTATTACTTATAGCAAGTGCATCCTCATCAACTTCGGCCACAATCCGTATATCGAGTTGGCCCGCAAGTCACCCCCCCCCCCCCGTGCTGGCGAGTCCTGGTAGTCTCCACTGCTCCACTGATCACGACTGTTTTATCGGCAAGGGTTTTCATGACGTGTTCACAAATGATACCCTGCACGGTTCTCGTCACATCAACCGAATCTCGCAACCCAGCCGTGCAGAGACTCACACGAAGATGCTTGACATGGTCACTGTTTCGCTTCACAGTCAACTAGTGGAGCTGTTCCCGATGGATCGTCCAACGAGAAGGATGAACGTCTGATTTTTCGAAGCCAACCTCCAAACTATGCCAACCCCCTCCTCTTTGCTCCCCCCTCCGCTCGCAGCAAATGGTAGTTAGTTTGAAAATCGATTTCCGTTGTCGCGGTAGTCAGATTCGTGCAAGGCCCTGTGAGGAAGCGTCGTGCTGGCCGGTCAGGTGCTGTCATCGGCCCAGCATCTCGTGAGAGCTCGTGGGTGGAGGCTGAGAGCACCATCGCAAGACGCACAGGCATCTCTGCCAGCAAAACGTCGCCGAACGCTGGGGCCGCAGCAACGCAGGGGTTCAGGCTTGTGACAGTCTAGAGTCCAGTATGGGCTCAATGTTGCAGCACTCTGTATTTCTGCGCCAAACTATCCAATACTCCTGTGGGCAGAAAGCACGAAAACCTTCCGACAGCAAGCGATGCCCCAGACTGGGGGGGGGGGGGGGGGGGNNGGGGGGGGGGGGGGGAGGGTGCGCAGTCTGCGGTGGTCCAGCTCGGATGCAATCACAGCAAGCAGCGTCAACACTTCTCCAGTTCGCCAACGGTAGTTCCAGAGGGTCTTACCCCAGTTCATGAACCAATTGGATTTGGCCTTGGTGGATGGTGCTTTGGACACGACTAGCACACCAGTGGGAAGCATCGCAGCAGTTTCAAAAACAAGGCTACATAGCGCTGAGTACTCTGGTGCGGGAGGGAGGAAGGATTGTGTTCATTGCTCAGAACTACATCTACATTGCGGTGGGCTTCGAGCTTGGTATCGAAGAGGAGCGACAAAGTCTCCGTGTGCGGTGTGCCTGCACTAGCCACCGGACTTCCGTCGCAGGGCGGATGCTGTGTCGGCCAGCGCGGCACCTGCTCCGACTTTCTCTCTTACTTCCCACGTACATGGCAAGGCTGGGCACGCACTCTTTGTGGTTTGTCAACTCGTTTTGGCACTGCAGGTGCCCACGAATGATGACGGCTTCATGATCAGGCCGCCATGGGAGTGAATACATTTGCTGCGAGCTCTGGCACAGTCGATGGAGATACTTCGCATGCATGCCAAGGCTGGGTACCCAGGATGGGTTCCGCGGAAGGCAGCGCCGATCAAACCGTTTCCTCCTGAGAGTATTTCATGCAATGCGAGAGGTGGTACTGCGGTCGAATCCTGGATCCGTCGGATGTCCGGACCTTGGCAAAGTCGTTTCTTGCAAGTTGAGAGGTAGAGCACTACACAGCCCAGATCCCCGGTGCAAGTGAGCAATGTGGCCCGGAAGGAGGGCCGGAGCCTTCGGCGCCAAAGTGCTTGTTTGCATGGCAGTAGATGTTACTGGCGTCAGAGAAACTGAGGCCTCAATGCCATTCGTGCGCTCGGTATCAAGCGACCTACGAGGTGGGAGTTGCCTCAGGTAGCTGCAATTATACACATGCAATGAGTTTGGCAAGCTAGATTGTACGTGCTTGATTTCATTGTTGTTGAGCTATGAAAGCTGTATATCGACTGTGACATTTATACAGACGGCACATCTCTGACCCACCGCTCCTCTAAAGCGGGCTTCATGACAACAGACCGGCAGCTTACTCCATCACGGGTCGTGCAGTGCCGCTAGTTTCGCGAACGCGGGGCCCCCAGGTCCCAAGCTCTTTCGTTCTGAGACGAAACCCGCGGCCTCGAGACACTGCTGATGCCGGATACACAGCGTGGGGACGTCGACAAGGCGTGTGCCTTCGTGCTGCAGGTCATGCAGGGCGCGGCGGAGAGAAGAGTTGGATCCATTCGTGAAATCCCCGGCGGGTCACACGATGTATTTTAAACGAGCGTGTGGATGGACAAGCCGTATGATGCATGTTCTTGCATGGATGGCTTGTATGCCTCCTGGAAGGCAAACACATGTACCCGTCGTGCAGGCCGTGAACTTTGGACCAAGCAGAGACGACTCCTTGTGTTCCTTGACCAGCCGACGCAGGACTTCCAAAGTGGGTTTTGCACGGCGCCTTTCGCGAAGGAGGCTCCGCTTCGCAGGATGACGGGCAGGCCTTTGTCGTCTGACCCCACACTGCGACCACGCAGTCGACGGGACGGGCAAAAAGTGAGTCATGGATATCCGAGTTATCATGCCAAGCCAATCTTTGCAACCCTTCGCACACCCAGTTCCTCTCTTGCCAAGAGATCCTTCACCGACGAGATGTGGCATGGCTTCGTCACATTTGGCCCGGGAGCGCCTGTATGCCAGCTTCATCTGGCAGCCAGGAGTTGGGTCAAGCCTTGGCAGTTGAGCCAAAACGGCAGGGCTTTTCTCCCACCCTCCCAGCCCTTTCGGAGACGATCCTCCGTGGGGATATCCTCTTCGGAAGGGTTTTCGCGGCAGTTGCTCGCGACTGCTTCGATGAGGAATCCGAACCGGGATAGGTTCGTGGCCTCATCTGGCAGCCAGGAGTAGCCTGGCTAGCCAGAGGTGGAGGTCCAACCGAATGTTTTGCCAAAGCACTTCCTGTGGAGTACGAACACAGGTTCTGCAGACGGACACTCCTGGGCGAGGCGAAAGGAAAAGTGAGCCGAGTGACCCCAGTAGCCTTAAAGATACGATACACGAATGAAAAAATCCAACAGTTGTTGATTACAGGGCACCTTGCATCCATGAATCAGCCAGGTTCCCAGGGAAAGGCCAGGTAGTCGGCAGTTTGGTCTGGCTCTGCCAAACAAGCCAGTAATATTTGACGAGAGTTTACTTCGAGGGCCACCCGACCCGGAAATTGAACAACACTATCAGCCATCGTTTCTTTTTCGGCATTGCCTCCCGTGTTTTTAAGACAAAAAACAGCGCGTGCTTCGAGCTATCATGAGTCGACTCGTGGATGGTATATACGATTTCGTCAAAACGCAAGTTTCCTTGCTGCACTGCGCAACCTGAGCATTCAGCACATGCTTGGTTGCCATGAAATTGTCGACAGTTGTCCACCGCTTTGCCATCCTAGAGGTTCACGGCAGGAGTAAGATGTTCGAGGTTAACTTCGGACCAAAAAGATTTGATAGTTTTCAATCACAAGCAGGTCAACGAGGCTACTGCGTGCAAACAGACCCCCAGAATCAAACGATCCAATGCCACAACCACCCTGACAATGAACAGCAATGTCACTGGGGATGTCGAACCGAGAATTTGTGGGGGAACGAACTCAACAGCAGCGTTTCGGTGTAGGAAACCAATGAATCCAGAAATTAAATAAGACGAAGTGCCGATTTAGTGGTTCGGTGTTGACCTACTTTGACCTTTCCAAGGACACACTTAAATCTGGTTTCAACTGCTTGCATTTGTCCAAAAAACATAGATCTCTACAACGACCGGTGGCAGATTTGATTGGCCTTCGGGATTGCAAGCTCCTAACCTTCCGTGGGGATCTTTTTTGAACTAGGTTGTACTGCTCTACTCACTTACGATTAATTTACTTTCAAGTTCCAGATGTGCAAGCCAACAGTAAGCAGCATTTAATTGGGAATTTTGGGAGCCCTGTCCGAACACTTCGCGGGTATCTTGTGAGAGTCGGGTATAGTTCGAGCAAGCAACCAACACCACTAGATCATGATTCACGTGGTGATTCTGGGAATTCCAAACACGCACAAGCTGAGCCGAGCTGAGCCTAGCATAGCCTAGCCTGGGCTGGCCTGGCCTGGCCTGGCCTGGCCTGGCCTAGCCTAGCCTAGCCTATGATAGAAGCGCAGAAAGTCGGAACATCATTCTCCTCGTGCCTTAACCCATGTTCCAACTCGCTGGTGTTCGCTGTAGTCTTGTCTAATCAGAGTCTAGTCCAGTCCAATGCAGTCTAGTCTAATCTAGTCCAGTCTGGTTTGTCTATAGTCTAGCGTCCCGTAGACACACCTGCACACAATGCAGTAGACAAACAAGCATGCGGACCTTGCATCCCGTAGCCTGCCTTCCCCTTAAACCTTGAGCCTGAAAGAACGGCCTTGGGAGGCCAGTTAATTATGATTTAATCGTTTCGTTCTTGCCAACTCTGCGAGACAATTAAAGTCCGATTTAGCTGTATTCAGGTTTGGTCATCGGTTCATATCCTTTAAATCTTGATCTAATTGTTGTCCAGGGTTGGGGTAGTGTAGCAGAAAGAAGTACATCCTGATTTAATTGTGCCGTTTAGGTAGCAGGACAGGCATGGAATGGAGCGTCGCGCAACATTCAAGAGCCAATGAAACATAGGTATTATCTTGTGCTGAGTATAGCATACGGGGGCTAAAATATAAAGTGTTTCGACATGTTGTCTTGTCGGTTCTCTCGCAGCCCGACCTGAATGATGACGGATACCCAGTCAAGCGCAGCTTGAACACGAAATCCTGCCTGGACCTCACATGCATGGTCAGCTCGGCCTGCCCCGATAGTTCTGCAACCGAGGCTTCTTGTTCTATTGTGGAAGGTGGGGGTGAGGGAGGGGCTTCGCACCGCTGTAGATAACTTCGCTTTTGCTCTGGCAGGAGTGGCGTCGTGGCAGGCGATGGGGATCAAAGCACATTGCGAAGTTTCATGTTTAGCTACAAAATTTCTTGCAACAGGTACGGGTGGCAAGTGTGCCGGCGAAGGGTGGGTAGCCAATGAGCGTGTGTTGTGTTGGCGATCCGTATTGCTGGCATCTGTGTCACTTGTTTTCTGAGGATGCGCGTGTGTGGTTCTGTTCAACGATGTGCTTCCTGCATAACTCAGGCCTCAGTGCCCGTCGTGCCAACGTTTGCAGCAGCGTTATGCCCAGTGCATTGACAGATCATCAGCCAGATGCAGTGCATACAGCAACGTCTCGCTAGTTGCAGGTCCTTCAAGGCATGATTGGGCAGCCGGTCTCTTTGTATTCGGTTTGGGCCATGTCAATTCGCTGCAGTCTTGAGCTCGCAGGCCGGACATGTAAATGACGAAGGCTGCATTGTCATGCTGGGAACCACTAAAGGCCAGAACCCTGCTTCGCTAATGACAGCGTTGTCGCTCTCTCTCTCTCTCTCTCTCTCTCTCTCGCTCGCTCGCTCGCTCGCTCGCTCGCTCGCTCGCTCGCTCTCACACACATGCACATGCACAACACCCACGCACACACGCACACGCACGCACACGCACACGCACACGCACACGCACACGCACACACGCACACGCACACGCACACGCACACGCACACGCACACGCGCACACACACACACACAGACACAGACACAGACACAAACACACACACACATAGAGAGACACACACACAGACACACAC